TCATTATTTTAGAGTTTAGTATGAATTCACACGAAAATATGTAGTCGTGGCGACGCGGAGGTAAAAGAAAACAGGAATTCGAAACCTGGCTAGTCCTAAATTGACTTTTTCAGGTTATATTGGCATACGGATCTACTAGCATACGATGAAGGAAAACATCGTGAGGATACCCACCTTGAGGAAGCGTGGTGATTAATGCCCAAACCTTTTTCGTGAACTTATAGAGCGACCTGACCTTATTTACACCTGTAAATATTTTTTCTAAAACTTGCAGTAGATAGCAAAACTATAAAGTTTTCTTCGCCGATCGAAAATTATTGAAGACGATTTGATTTAATGGAAGCGCAGCCTAATTTCGGCATCCAACGGCGAATGGACACGCCTAATTGAAAACCACGGAAAACTAGGCGAAATTGATTTTTTTCTATTCTCTAATTTCCTAATAACTATTTTTGTGTTACGGTATTTTATGCTTAATGATTATAGGGTAGAGATTGAAAATCATTTATATGGATCATTGAGTAGTTACGCTTTTATGGAATTAACATTTATTATTTTCGTATGTTTTAATGACTGATAATAATTTGACATCGTTTAGTTTGATCATGAATTGGCAAATTATAGGCATCATAAGCTTTTCCAAAAATTTCGCTCCTGCTAATAGAAATTTAGTTAATCAAGTTATTCGAAATGGTTATGAGCCCCAGGCATGGTCTGAAACTAGTAGAGTTAATTCGTCGAACAGTTAGTCTAGTTTTTAAATATAATCTCACGATACTTATAATAGATACATTTCTTTAATCTATTTTCTATTATCTACCACATTATTCCAATAGACTGTATCGCAATGTAACATCTGTATTGTTGGCTTGTTGCGCACGAGTTACTTCAGTAAACTACTAATCTCTTTTAATGTTCCACTGATGCCAATGAGGCTTCAAAACTTTGAAAATGTCGAATTTTCGAGTAGGAAAGTAATCTGGGGATTCCGCAGGTCTCTCTCTCTAAATTAATGCACACTTCTTTTTGTAATAACTATCGTGAGACATACTAATTTGCGTGCGAGTAGGCTGCGCGACATCCCCGTAACCGCGCACGTTGCTCATGAAAAAGAACCCCTCTGTGGTTCAAAAACTAGTAGAGCTTTTCTGATTAAAAATCGCTGGTTAAAAATCCCGCGATTTTTAGTTTATAATAGCCTACATCAATGAAAAATATGAAATTCAAGACCGATTTTTGACATTACTTTACTGGTTCTAGTTCATTAGCAGTTTCGGTCAAAAATAGTGCATGATCGGTATAGAGATTTTGTATTAAATCAGTTATTATTTTTAACCGACAACTTAGGAAATTGAAATGATATTTGACCCTAATATTTTTATTATTTTTTATGTTTTTTATTTGTTGTTAGTAAAACTACTCTTTTTGTTTGTATATTTGGTGCATTATACCTAATGACGTGTACATTATTTTTCTTTCTTTTAAATTATATTTATTTAAGTAAATGAGGTCAAATCTTATCTATGTAACCGAATCAAACTCAGACATACCTTCTGTCTCTTTTACCTCGAGCTGGCTAGGAACTATTATAAGTTTGGTTCTCCCGAATACGGGTCTCTAAAATCATTGAAAGGTCTTTATCAAAGTCCCCAGTCTCCATAGTTTAATTTAAGCGTATCGGATTAGACAGATTAACTTCGTTTGTCTGACAAAGGAAAGCAGAGAAACCTTTTTTAATCTCGTGGCTACTCGTGCAAATAAATAACAATTGGGATGTTTCGTCAAGCATAGATAAATAGTTTAGTAGTTATAAATAATTGTATAAGTACTTTAATTACTGCTTACTAAAATCACTACTTACATAGTATATCCTTAATAATTATAAATCTGAAAGTGAGTTTGTTTGTTTGTTTCTTCCACCTTCACGCCGTAACTACTAAACGTAAAGTTAGAAGTCCGGATTAAATAATAGGGTACTTTTTAACCCGGAAAAAATTGATATTCCCGAGGAAAAACAAAAGTATTGGTATAGATGGCGCTGTGTGTATTGGTATATGTCACATAGGCTACTTTTTATTCTTTTGTAACGCGAGCGAAGCCGCGGGTAAAAGCTAGTATAGTATAAAACAAAGTCGCTATCCGCCGTCTGTCTGTAGGGACAGACAGACCTTCGCGATTGGCTAAACCGATTGTGATGTGTTTGGCAGAAATGTGTTGGTTACACTTCGGGAAAAGTTTAAGTATATCTATCAATTAACCGATTTCAAAAAAGAGGGGGTTGTTGTCGGTTATTTTAAACGTAATTTGTAAAAGAATTATGTATAATTATTATTTCTTTTTTGTCTTGTAACTTTGTAAGTGGTCAAAATTATCGGATGACTTCTCCCGCCCGGGTGAGGCGGGAGGGAGTGTCAGACTCTTACTGACTAAAAACCACCCCGTTCCTTCTCCTGCACGTCGAGCCGGAGCTCCGGTAACTCGTTAGGTTCTCCGTGACCTCATGTAAGCTTTAACTTTAGGGGTACGATTAACCAAATCGAATCGATGAATTTGATACAGATAAGATTATGAAAATCAAAAAGTCAACCTTATTATTTAACTATAAAACCCATGTAGTAATAATTCTAGCAGTTAAGTAGTAACAAATTAAAGAAAAAACACATTACAGTAGACAAAAATTTTACTATCTAAACCTCATAACACCTTACCAAACAAAGTAATAAAATAGTATAAGAAAACAATCTACTTTATCTAAAACGGATTAAAATAGAGCAACCTTGCAAACATACTACAAAAAATGGCCTTCAACCAATAAAAAATATAGCCACGTACACTATAGGCCATAAAATAGTGAACACTTGTAATATGTTTATTTTACATTGATTACACTGGCGTGCAAACAATGCTATCGTTATCAAGAAGTAACTGATAATAATATATTATAATGTATCAGTGTACATTATTTCCGTGTTGTCATATGAACTAGAAGAAATGAGACAATATTTAATCTAGATGTGTAATGCTTTCTTTGCAATGACATTTAAGTAAATAATGTACTGTTTTTTATGCACTGATCTGAGTTAATTTGTTCAAAATCTATCGCAATCTGACACTGAAGTATCGAGACCTTTATCTATAAGACATCCTGAGTACCGGTGCATGAAGTGCAACATATCTATTTACTGGCTTTTTACGACGCTACAGTTTTTTTAAAGCTGTATACTTATAATGTAATCAATCATTGTTAATTATTTACCACATTCTTACATTATCTTACAACTTCGCAAGTAAATACTAACACCATAAACAACAACTTAAATTTTTTTTAGACTTTTCAAAACTTCGTTGTGTTTCGTCGTGTGAGTGAGGTACCGGAGGCCCAATTACCCCCCTCCCTAGTCCCCGTCTCCCAAATCCCCGAATTCTCCACAATCCTCAAATTCCCAATTACCAAACGGCCGATAATGCACTTGTAACGCCTTGGTGTTTTAAGAGTGCATGGACGACGCCGATTGCTTACCATCAGATGATCCGTCAGCTCGTTTACCGGCTTATGCTATAAAAAAAAAACTTAAAAGGTTACTAAAAATCGCGAATGCTATATACTGCCAAAAGCTCTACTAGTTTCAAACCACAGAGGGGTTCTTCCTCATGACCTCATGCGCGGTCTCGACGATGTCGCGCAACCTACTGTCGAGCTTTTCTCAGTATATTCACGTGAGTAACCCGCGATTTTTAGTTAATTTAGTATGTCTCACGATAGTTATTATAAAAACACTTATCAGGTTTATGGTTAAATACTTTATAATACCTCCTTCAATTGCTGAAATCACATTCATATAGCAACCAAGGTGCAATTCTAACACACAAAAATAAAATAAAGATTTTTAGAACGAATTCATTTCAATCATCATTCTTACTTCTCTTAAGCTCTAACAATAGACTGACTGAACATGAATAATTTCGTACATTAATCAATTAGTTGCAATATTTCATACATTTCTATATCGTCAGTGGAACGAAATAGGTATGTAAGACAAGGCAGAATGAAAAGACAAGGCAAGTCATAAATAATAAGTCGATCCAAAATAAGTCTATTATTATGTTTTGTTGGCTTATTCGATAGCTGACGAAGTACTTCACAAAAAATACGCGAGATGTCAGTGTACGTAATTTAGCGAAAGAATAAACCATAATATTCTTTAACGCAATAAAATATTCAAAAATAAACGTTCCTATTGAATGTACATGTCATTCTAATTTTAAGAGAAATGTAATAAGTTTAATATTTGACGCAAAAAAATATTACGTCACTACTCGCAATCTCATACGAAATTCGAAACTCGTTGTTTATATTTACAAAAATTGACTTATGTATTTGGTCTTTGAGCGGTGCCATTGCTTACCATCAGGAGATCCATCTCGTTAACAGTCTTATCCCATAAAAATATGTACGACTGTTAGATGATAAGGTGTTAAGATTGCAGACATCTTATATTTTTCTCTGCTGGTTTAATGAAGCATTGTTATCTACATTGCATTGCCGGTCTTTTTATCCACAGCGAGACAAGAAAATTCATATAGATAATAATGATTATCAATGCATTCACAGTTCAAATCTTAATAGCCGAGCTTAAATTAATCCAGAATATTCTGTCTTGTAGTAGTATAGTACGAGTTTGCGCAAAGTATCATCTGGGAATTTAAATGAAAATGAAAATGACTGCCTCGATGGCCGAGTGGTGGCAAGTGCGACTACCGAGCAAGGGGTCTCGGGTTCGATTCCTGGGTCGGGCAAAGTATTACTGGTTTTTTTTTTAAATCTCAGTCGTAGCACGGAGTCTGGAAATGTGCCCGGCATATGGCAATAGGCTCACCCCCTATTACATGGGACACATAACATAAACAGTGAAAAGTGGTTGTTACTTCTGTGTGCACCTCTGCCTACCCCTTCGGGGATAAAAGGCGTGATGTTATGTATGTATGTTTGATTGTTACAGGTCGGACGGGCAATGTATGCAGCGTGGACATGGACTGCCCAGACAACGCGTTCTGTCGTCTCAACAGCTACTGTGTCTGTAAAGATGGATTCGTGTACGCAGCCGTCAATAGCACGCATAAAGGGTGTTTGAAAGGTATTTTGTTGTTTGCAATTTTAACGAGCTGTAGATATTCTATCTCATTTTATTTTATTGTTTTCTTTTTATTTCATAGTCCTCGAAAAGTATGTATAGGTAACTATACTTTAGTTCAACTGTTAAGGATATAAGGTAACCAGGCAATTTGGTATAGGTTTAGATCGTTCCGTAATTGTAGTGGCTAGACAACCGGCTTCCGCGAACCGCATTGGCCATTCGATTTTCGCATAGAATCTGTGTGATCTACAAATTATTGGACCTGAGTATAATGTGTATATAAATTCATATGTTTTTAATGCAGGAGAAAATATTAAAAATTTGTTTTAATTTATTTCCAGAGGCTCGTATTGGCGAGGAATGCGTGCAACACATCCAGTGTCACTCCACTACAGGCATCCACTCGGATTGCACCAACGGTGTCTGCGCTTGTGCACCTAACGCGCACTTCGAAGACGACAGATGTTATGAGACTGCTGGTTAGTATGCTACCATTACGTATATCTACTACTGAGGAAATATAGTTGAAAAACTGCTTAAAAAATCGCAATAAAAAGTATAATGAGATATTTGCAGTTTGTAGTTGAGTTTAGCTGAAATAGCGTGCTTAACTCGTCGAGTACCGTCATTATAGACACAATTAAAGAACAATAGGTTGCGGTCATCGGTGACCGCTTGGTGTTTGACAGTTTAATTACTAAAACATGTTAGTGACGCAAAAAAAATTTGGCATCTTAAGTGTGGAAGTGCCATGCTTCGGCACGAATGGGCCGGCTCGACTGGAGTAATACTACGGCCGAGCAGAAAACCGACGTGAAGTAACGCTTGCGTTGTGTTTCTTCTCATCAATCTCCTGAATCCCCTATAATCCTCAAATTCCTAATCCCCAAAAGGGTAACGCACTTGTAACACCTCAGTGTTTGGGGTGTCCATAGGTAGCGTCGATTGCTTACCATCAGGTCATCCGTTTACCAACTTATTCCAAAAAAAAAATAACTCACAATTTCTTACAAAATAATAAACCTTTCCAAAGATGTATTAAAATTCAAATACAATTACTTTTTCTAAAGATTGTTTTGAAAACAATCTGTTACAGAGACAGTTATATCTAGCAATAGCCTAAGTACTTGAAGAAAATTACAACGACGACATTAAATATCCGATAGACCGATCTCAAGGTCATTCGTTTGTAATAAAACACATTTTTACTACCAACTTTTTATTCTATTGCAGTTATCGGCGACCGTTGCGTGGTGGACCAGAACTGCTACTTAGGAGACCAGAGCACCGAGCGCCAAGCGTTCTGCGTGCGAGGATACTGCACGTGTCAGCTACAGTTCAGCCCAAGGGACAATGGCACGAGGTAAATTCAACTTACATTAAAACTCCGGTCCGTCCGATTCCCTTATTTTTTGAGTAGGGAAAGTCATCCAATGACTTCCTCCGCCTTGGGTTAGGCGAGAGGGAGTTTCAGACTCTTACTGACTAAAAACCACCCCGTTCCTACTCCTGCTCTTCGAGCCGGAGCCCTGGTAACCCGTTAGGCTTTCCGCGGCTCCGTATCGGGCATCAGCCCTACTGAGGCTCTTTAAGGCGCGCGTGGAACGCGACTCGCCGTTCGCACGGGTCTGGTTCTGGTCGGGTGGTACGGACGATGAGCAAGCTACCCTTGCTCATCGTCCATAGACAGGCACTTACGGTAGTCGGAGATCGATCTCCTACGCCCGGGGTATCTCCCGCGAAGGCTGGGGCGTGAGGAGGTTCGTTCCCTCACGCACCCCGCCTTCGCTTCGCTTCGCAGAATGAACAGACGGCATACCAGTCCCTCGTCCAATGGCCATGTGCGAGGTTTTCATCAATTCTATCGCGATAACGATAGCTACGAAATTGTATGCTATTTCCGATTAGTTGTATATAATTTGTATTGTATGTTACCGTCCCATGCCGCTCCTATACAAAATGTATTTAATTTAACGTTAACCGGATCGAATAACTAATAAACTCGTACTTGAGTCATTAGAACTATACCCGAATGTGTCACCACTAATGCTCGTTTCTTTAATATTATATGACATTAGTATTTTTTTCTGAGTCGTGAGAGGTCTTTTACAAACATACAAAATAATATTTAATCCCAGAACAACAGTTTGAGGAGCAGAAGAACTGTTCCACATTATATGCAGATATTGCTATTTTTGTTTAAAACTAATCCAAAATCTTTAAATGCAGATGTGTACGCGACGCAACGCTGGGCGAGGAGTGCGAGGATCAGATGCAGTGCGCCGGCGCAGGTCTGGAGTGCCGGGGCACATGTCGATGCAGAGACAACTGGGTGGCTCATAATGGCTCCAACTCCTGTGTTGAATGTAAGTTTTGACAACTATTTTATTAGATTTAAACTCGTCATGGTAGATTCAGTAGTTGGTATGGTTAGAAAAAGTTCTCGATATAATTTGAATACTAAGGACGATTAATTTTGAAATCCAGAGATGGCGTTGGTCTTCACCAAGGTCTAAATACTTAAATCAAAATTGGAACAAAAATGATGTTTATTTCTACAAATAGGTTACAGAGTAACTTTCACACATCAACCTGTAAACTGCAAATTGCTAGATGAGGCCCGATAATTCCTAACTGACTACTCTGAGAAGAACTGAAAAATTGCGTAATAATTTAACAAATATTGTATTGGTCAATAGACCTGCCTCAGCGCTTCTAGTGGCACGAAAACTCTTTATATGGAATTCATAACATAACATCACGCCTTTTATACCAGAAGGAGTACGCAGAGGTGCACATTACGGCACTTAATGCCACCGTACAATGTAACATCCCATTTTTACTATTTATGATAATTATGAGTCTGAGCCGTGCCACTACTGAAAATTTCTTTTAAAAAGTAATATCTTAAATCAAACCCGAGGACCGTCGCCCAGCAGTCGCACTTGCGACCATTCGGCCAACGAGGCAGTTAGTTGTATAGATTTTATAACTATGAAACCACCTAAGACTGCCATGACTGATACACTGCTTGAGTAACCATAAGCACATCTGCTACCCTAGATCCAGACTCCAGATAAAACAAAAGTGCGATTTAGATCCTTATTTCCTACAGAACATTCACTATTAGCACGAATACTAGAATTGTCCTTATGTCTATGTATCTCCTATGTATATCTCCCCAATCCCTGAACAATCCTCAAATTCTTAATCCCCAAAAGGCCGGTAATGCACTTGTAACGCCTCTGGTCTTCCAGGTGTTCCTTACCTACCATCTGTACGCTCGCTTACCAGCTTATCCCATTAAAAAAATATGTTCGCTGTAGAACTTGAAACATGACCTTAGTACCTATTATTTCCTCACCTCATTAGTTCTAATCCTTGACCGAAATCTTTCACTAATTAGACCTTAAGTAGAATCGCGTACAACGTGTTAGAAGCCCTTAATATGATTACTATAGTAATTTGATTAGCAAGGCGCTGGATGTGATGCCCCTAATTTTAAGGGCCTACACCTATATTTGTAATTAATTGTCGATTAGGATGCTATCTGATATTTAGCGTTGAATTAGGAACAAGGATACAAAAGTATCGGTAACATTGTGTTTACCCTGATGAATTAAGTACTTTGAATTCTTTTGCATTTGGCGAGTATCTTTTTTTAACTGCCTCATTGGTGAAGCGGTCGCTAGTGCGGACTGCCGGACAAGGGGTATCGGTATTCGATAATGTATTCGATTACCAGGTCGGGCAGTTTTACTAGGTTTTTAAAAAATGCCTCGTATTTGGCAAAAGGCCCACCCCCTATTACATGGGACTCATAACATAAATTGTGAAAAGTGGGTGTTACATTGTACACCGGCATTAAGTACCGTAATTTGCGCCTCTGCCTACCGCTTCGAGGATAAAAGGCGTCATGTTATGTTGTCTTATTTTTACATAATCTGGGGATGCTCTAATTTTTTACTACGCTCTTATTCATTAAAAAAATTGTTTTACCTACATACATAGGTATTAATTTGAATACAGAATACTTTCCGGACCTGGGAATCGAACCCACAATACCTCTCAATCTGTTTAATATCTTTTCTGATGTACTGATGTTCCTACGGTTTTTAAAATTAACTTTTTTTTTTCAGCCGTAAAAGCTTTAAACGAGTCGTGTGAGTACGATGTACAGTGTGACGGTCTGGCCGGACTGCCGGAAGCACGGTCGCCGGGCGCGGCGCTGTGTCTGGGCGGGACGTGCGCGTGCGCATACAACGCGCGAGCCGCCGGCACTCCGGCACGGTGCTGGCATCGACGCCGGCCCGGACAGGAGTGTAAGAGGGATGAGGTATGTTGGATTTTTTTATTATTGCGTTCTAACTTATTTAAATAAAATGTCATACACTAACAAAAATTTCAGACTCTGTCGAATACTTGAATGAACTCAAAGACCCCTTTTGCTTAAGACTACTATCCTATATGTGTCAATTTTTGCTAGCCACTGATCTATTTTAGTCTGTGGTGGTCGTAAAGTAAACAGAATAGATAACATCTGCATTACTTACTAAGGCATAGATCAATCTTTTGCGTGCCTACCTATATAATGACGTAAACGGAGTTGACAAATATTTGTTTTTCTTTAGTTTTGTTTATAAAATATGATAACGGGAGGGCGATGTGATGATTGTGTGTTAGTATTCTAATGGTGCTAAATGGTAAAACGGAATGAATAAGAATCGAGAGGTAAATAGAAATAGAAGAGGGGTGAATAGATACTGTAACGAATGTTTTCTTTATCTTTTCTATACTTTTTTTAAACACTAGAATTTTCTCCTGTACCATAGATGCGTTAACAACATACAAGTTCACATGCACATCACACCCAGACCCGGAACAACAAATTGTGGGATCACACAGAGTTGTTCCGTGCGGGAATCAAACCCGCTACACGTTACGCGGCAGCCACCGCACCAACCCTGCAGTCATTATAGAACTTCCAAATATACCTCTATACTTATCAACCCTCTTCTGTCTTTATGCACCTCTCGATTCCTATTTGCCCTCCCCCTTTTCTGTATAGGTACCGTCGTGTAATTTTACGAGTGAGATGCGCGTAACCTGTTTGCGAGCGACACGTGTGTATTTGGTAAATGTGGCCGCACCATAGAAGTATCTTGTTTATGAACTTGTCTCGAAGTTAGGGGACTTTAAAATAATTGTGCTCAGTGCATGGCGTTGGTTGTGGTGCTCATTTTTTTATGGCATAAGCCGGTAAACGAGCAGATGGATCACCTGATGGTAAGCAATCAGCGTCGCCCATGGACACCTGAACACCAGAGACGTTACAAACGTTATTTACGTTACCGGCCTTTTCAGGATTGTTGGGGATTTAGGGATTGGGGAGGGGGGAAGGGGGGGAGGTTCAAATTATACCAATTATCTAATTAAAATTATTTTATTTATCACTTATTAGTTATTCTTATGTCTAAACATTATAAAGTCACACTTAGATAGCGTCAGAATAGTCACCTATAACTGAAATTAAAAGTAATTAAGATTGACATTCATAGACTAATGGTTGTTTTTCGATTATTTACTACAACAAGTTAGTAATGATTGTTACCGGTTTTTATAGTAAACGCCATCTAGTGGGCAGAATACGTAACATAACGAATGTTACGTATTCTGCCCACTAGATGGCGTTTACGATGTCTACTTGATAAAGTTTTAAAATTCAGCAATTTCGTAAAGGTAACAATTAAGTTATTTTTATACGGAACAGTAATTTGACTAGCAATTTGTATTAAGTTTATTTGTTAAACTAATACAGTTATAGGTAACAAGCTATTCTGATGCTGATAATGAATTCAGATTAACTCACACATTTACCAATTAAAAACTCCTTACAAAAGTTCTATGTGAGCTATTTACAAGCATTCTCACTCAATGATATTATACGATACTGTTTGACGAGGTAACTCGAGAAGTCTCAAGGTTGGTAGGAAACTCATAGCCAGAATGCCTAGAGCGAAATTTTTAACCATTTCGATCGCTTTAATGTTTTATACGACCTGTATGTACATGCTATTGCCGTCCTTTCCCAATTCCATATAAATCGCAGTACGTTAACGCGATCGAATAGGTGAAGACATTCACAATCTCACTGGGCATTCGCTTGAGTGCACATCGTTTATCACTTTGTACTGCTTATGGCGCATTTCGCGTAGCTTGAAGCAAGTCTAGTTACCCCATCATACAGCCATAAAACATCATTAATTTACAATAAATTCCCTGTATTAAATTCTAGGTACAGTAAAACATCCCGTATAGAATTCAAGGTGCGAAAGTGCGAGATGCGTGTATTCGATCGCGTTACGGTGAAATGTTTCTCCGAAACGCTACCAGGTTTAGTCTTCTCATTGGTTGGTTCATTAGAACAGGCCAATTAAAGCGCCCAACGTCAAAAATATGTCGATCTCGTTAAACTTTAATCGAACTCACATTGAGTCCTTTGTATGTTAGGTACTCACCCCTCGAATTCTATTCACTCCGTTTTACGGTACTCACATTATTAATCACATTTAATAATTTCAGATGACTAACTAACAATTCTTCTTACAGGAATGCGTATCAGAAGAGAACGAGCCAGGATACTGCCTCTCCGGTCGCTGCACGTGCAAGAACTGTTCCCCAGACGCCAAAGACTTCGGTGGCGCCGCCACATTCTCCCGCCCGCCATTAATCCTGTCCGCCATCTTGACAATTGCCGCCATTTTGAGATACCAGCTGTAAACAAAACTTAATTTTGTTAATTTATTATCGTTTTATGTTTAAGAGAAAATGATATTAATTGGCTTGATGGAAATAATTTTTAAACAGTTGTGGGACACGGAATGAAAGTCCTTCCAGTATAAAGAGTAATTGTCAATTAATGTACATTATAATTTATTGTTGTAAGCAGTCATTTTGTTAAAAAAAATGCTTAAATATCGAAAATCAAGAAAAGGAACTTCAAAAGTAAAATCGAACAAAATATTCTTTATGGCCCTAATAATAAGGCCTACTATTCCAAAATTTCAAGAAAAAATAATATATCGCACAATTTTAGTTGATAGTAATGTTGTTAATTGTTTGTAGTCTATTCAAATTCTATGTAAGTTGTAAATAATTGTTGTTGTTTTAATTAAAAAAACATGTTGTTTATAAGAGTAGTATAAAAATCACGAGAAACAGTATTTTGCGAGTGCAATTTTATATATTTTCGTTTTAATTATGAATGGGTAGCGATTATGCCAAAGAAGTGTACACAAATATTGAATGTGTAAATAAATATTATTTATTTTAAAATTGATTTAATTTCAAACCCTGGTGTAGTACCTCACCTAATGTCCTGTCTGATCCAGACTTCATATTTGTTAAGTGAGACCTCCCGAAACAGTTCTATTTACAGAAGAATTTAAACAAATCCAAATCCAAAGATTGTGGATCGAAATCGGTTAATTTTGGTTGATTACCGACATAGCAAAAATCGATAATATGTCAACAACGATGAAATGTACAAAAATTGCCCATCGGCTCTAGTTACACGAGTAAACTAAACAATGTCTAGCAAGCAAGGAATCTCATTAACAGCTTGTTTTCGTCCACTGCTGGACATAAGCCTCTCCAATGGCACGCCACTGAGCTCGGTCTTCAGGTCTACGCATCCAACCACTACCAGTCACTTTATGTACCTATATCGTCACTCTACCTAGCTGGAGGACGCCCTACACTACGTTTTAGAAAATAATAATGGTAAATAAATAGTACTACTGTACTAAAAATCTATTCAGCAATTTAGGAGACCAACAAATAAAGATAGACACACAATTCTTACCTCAATAGCAATTACGAACATTCGGTGTCATAGACACTTCAGGTCGAACGGAGCTAGTCAATGAAGCATGAAGTGCCTTCCTGACGCTGGGAGACGCTGCTGCATAGACCAACGGGTTCAGTGCGGAGTTGGTGAATCCTAGCCAAGTGCAAACCTGCCACATTGGTTCCCAGACGCAGTGGCAGAGTGCATCTGGAAAATATTTAGGACTATTGAGAGAATGACACGCTTGTAAACTAAATGGGTGATTTAGAAAATTCAATAAGTGATTTGTACGACCCGGGAATCAATTCTTTAACGCAAGCTCTCCATTTGTACTGGGCAAAGACTACCATCAAACCGGGTGTAGGTACTACGCCAAAACGAATTCCAAATAACAGAATATCAATTGCTCCGACACCGTAAACTCTGTTGCTCATAATAAGGCATCGAAAAGTTAATTAATCGGGCGATTAAATACTCAACGTGTTTAAAATATCGAATGTTCGATTGATCCAGGGTCCAAAGCATAGCAATGATAATAAGGTGCACTCACCGACTGGCAACACAATAAAGAATGGCGTCCAGCAGAATAGGAACAACCCCATCAGCCTGATGATGGTGCGGGTGGCGCGCTGTTGACGAGACATGATTGAGCTCCTGTAAATCATACCATAATTTGCAACAAGGTAATAAAATAAATACCTATGGATAATAATAACATTAACATTATTGTGTAATATGGATTATAACTGTGCGCTGCTCTCGTAGTTTTCTGCCTCGCACAGCAAAACTGTGTAATGATCTGTCGTCGGCAGTATTTCCGAACCGATACGACTTTCAAGAAAAGAGCATATCATTCCTTTTTGAAAGGCCAGCAACGTATGCACCAGTTACTCCTCTGGTGTTGGGGGTGATGCATGCGCTAATCGCTTACCATCAGGTAACGTTTGCCTCCTACTTCATAAAAAATACAGGTTAGTTAAAAAAAGATTCATTCCAAGACTAATTTGAGTTCTTGGTACTTTGAGTCTGGCTCGTTGGTCTAGCAAGTACCTTACATTCGTTTGTTGGCAGAACGAGGAAAAGGAGTTTAGAATATTTTCCGGTATATACCTCTAGTCTCACCCTCTATCTATTACATAAGACTCCTAAGATACTATCTACTTGAAAGGAAAGATTTGTTCCATTGCAAAGTAAAATAAGATAAATTAAAAATAACTTACGGAGCTCCAGGATGTTTCGCTGGGGACGCTGTAGTGCACTCGACAGTTCTCGTTAGTGCACTCATGTTACTGTCTTTTGGAGATGACGCTACCCTGGAACATGCAACATAGGTCATTACAATCAAACCCTAATCATCGGAAGTTTGTCGCGGAGAGCCTAACGGGTAACCGGGGCTCCGGCTCGACGTGCAGGAGAAGGAACGGGGTGGTTTTTAGTCAGTAAGAGTTTGACACTCCCTCCCACCTCACCCAGGCGGGAGCAGTCATTCGATGATTTTCCCCCCTTAAAAAAAAATCATGGGAAGTTTATAGAAATTTTATATCATTTCCACGGATGGGTTAGAAATCGCAGTTTGAAAGGTTCATGTTTATCAGAGAGTGCTATTACCCAAATTATGTCAAATAATCTAGGTAATCCCTTCAGCGTATGATACGACGATGACGTCACAAAAATTCTACATCGCACATGTGAAGTTTATATTCGATTTAACACGGATAGAAAAATACAAGGAACAACTGTTAGGCAGGAAGCCCGCCAGTCACGATCACCTCGCCTAGTCGGAGGATCCTCCTTTTCCGATCTTAGGGAACTTTATTCTCTGTTCCGTAAACTAGTTTCTCTAATTTATTTTCTGGCATTATCTACATCAACCTTATTGAAGAAGTTCCAAATAAATGAGGTACTTACTCAGTATTAGTCCGGTCAGGTAATGTAGATAGCTCCGTGATAACAGTAACAGACCTTCTTAATGCTGATGTAGAAGCTTTATCCTGAAACAGAATATTAAAAGGCTTAATACTGGCCAGTTTGTGCTGTGATGACGACTTCTTTTTTGTTTTTGTTTTCTCATTTGTTATTTGGTCTGCTTGGCCGAGTGGTCGCAAGTGCGACTGCCGGGCAAGGGGTCCCGGGTTCGATTCCCGGGTCGGGAAAATTAATACTGGGTTTTAAAAAAAATCTCAGTAGTAGCACGTCTGGAATTGTGACCGGTATGGCAATAGGCTCACCCCTATTACATGGGACTCATAACATAAATAGTGAAAAGTGGGTGTTACATTGTACAGTGGCATAATGTGCACCTCTGCCTATCCCTTCGGGGATAAAAGGCGGGATGTTATGTTATGTTGTAATTTGCACGTGTTATGGTAAAAACACAATATTTAAGGCATTGGCTGCCAATAAAAAACTGTTGAAGGCAAATCCTCCGCTAATGTCGGTCACCGGTGACTGCCATGGCGTTTAACGTGTTAAATTACTTTTTTCTTCTGTTGTGTACCAGATTTGACGGCAGCGACACCATGAATAAAAAAAAATACCTCTACAATCTCTCGGAGCTTCTGTTAACAGTTCGAAAAACATGACAGCGTAGGATTTCGAAGTACTAGACGAGTACAACGGCCTATGCCATATTTTAAAATCAATTTAGTAATACATAATACGAAACGAAACTTACCACTTGACCGTTATCTGAACCTTGCACCGCTCCTCGATGGGACCGTATCTCCAGCGGCACGGAGAGGGCGCACAGGATACGAGCGTATAGCACCACCATCATTACAGCAGGCAGGTAAAAGGATAGGGAAGCGCAGTAGAACGCATAACTGGGAATAAATATAAAACAAAAGCTTAAAAACACCCAGTTTCATTTAGTTACAAGATCCACGTCAGAGAATGAACCCATGAATCTTGTGAAGCTTTTCATGGATCTTGACATATTTTTATAGAACTCCACAACATTGAACAAAGAACATGTACTTATAAAATAAACTACCTCTACACTGCAATCAAAAGTTTAATTAGGAAAACATTCAAA